ATCTATTCTACATTTTGAAATCCCAGTCCCTTTCCATCCCCCTCAAGTTCATGTTTAGATGACTTTTCCCCTAGAGGTCCCTTACTCAACTCTGCGTTGAGCCCACAGACTTTGTTTCATGTCCTACTGCTCCACAAGATCATGAAAACTGAAGCTCAAGGTTACTAAGTTTAAAAAAGACCAACATAAGGTGATTTCAGTATTCCTCTTGCCTATTTGGATTTCTGCTTTCACATATTTTTGGGGTTTCTCAGTATTCTTTCTTTTTATCTTAGTTCAGTGTAATTTAAATGATTTTAGTTTTGCTGTTTGTTGTTCGTATTTAGTGCACCATACTGCCAGAACCCATAGATCACCAGCTCTCACTCTATTCTTGCATGAACCCAATCTTTGGTTAGTACCTCTCCATGTATTTCCAGGCATTCCTGTGGGTGGAAGAGGGGGGTCTTACCTGTACTCATAGACAACCCTGGTCAGCTCCAGGAGATCTCCTTTTCCCTCTCCTGCCCTGCCACTACCCCCACTGAGTTCTGCCATCTGCAGGTGGTATCACCTTTTCCTGGAGTCCCTGTCATTTTCTGGTTCCATAGGTGCCTTTGGAGAAGTGGGAAGGGATCCCTTTTTCTCTTGCTGCACTCTGATCAACTGCTTATAATCCTTTTTGGTTAAACTGCTCCTTTCACATCAGCTTTTTTTTACACTTTATTGTGAAAAATTAAAGTTTAATTTTTAGCTGCAATAGTACTAAGAACTGTTTCTGAGCCATTCCGCAGTAGTTGACAACATGATACCTCATCAATCCTAAGTAGCTTAGTGTGTATTTTCTACAAACAAGGACATTCTCCTACATAACCACAACCAACCATCAAAATGAGAGAAATTACATTGATACGCTACTACCTTCTGATCCTGAGACCCTTCTAGTCTAAATAATTGTCCTAATAGTGTCTTTTGTAGCAAAGGGATTCAATTCAGGATCACCAGCTGCATTTGGTTGTCCTGTCTCTTTAGTCTTCACTTTGGAAGAGCTTTTCCATCTCTCCTCCACTTTTTGACTTTGACACTTTTGGAGATTACGGGTCGATTATTTTATTTATTTATTTATTTATTTATTTATTTATTTATTTATTTTTTATTGATTATTTTTAGAATATCTTCAGTTTGGGTTTATCTGATGTTTCCCCATGATTAGATTCAGATCATGCATCTTTGGCAAGGACACCACAGGGGTGATGTTATGTTTATCTCGGTGTTTCCTGTTAGGAAGCTCACAATTTTGATTTTTTTCCTTAATGTGGATCATCAGTTGGTTAAGGTGATTTCTGGCAAGATTCTCCACTTTAAAGTTACTATTTTTTCCCTTTGTAATTAATAATTATATTGTGGGTAGGTACTTTGAGACCATGTAAATGGTCCATTACTCCTTAAACCTTTACCCACTAGTTTTGATGTTTGTGGTTAAATTAATATTCTGATGGCTGCCAGATGGTGATTTTTCTAATTCAGCATTTAGGAAAGGCATTCTCTTCTTCTTATTTATTTATTCATTTATTTGTTTATATCAGTATGGACTCCTGGATTTTTATTTTATAATGGGGACTTATAATCAGTTACTATCATTATTGATTTATTTTGATATTCAAATTGCCCCAAATCTGGCCAGTGCCCTTTTTTAATGCAATTTTCATTAAAAAAAAAAAGGTAACATAAAAATTTACTATCTTAATCATTTTCAAGTATACAGTTCTATAGTTTAAGCATATTTACATCATTGTGAAACAGACCTCTAGAACTTTTTCCTCTTGCAAAACTAAAACTCTATATCCGTTAAATAACAACATCCATTTCTCCCTCCCCCTCCCCCTGGCAACCACCAGTCTACTTTCTATTTCTATGAATTTGACTAATTTAGATACCTCATACAAGTGGAATCAAACAGTATTTGTCTTTTGTGACTGGCTTATTGCATTTAGCATAATGTTCTCAAGGCTCATCCATGTTGTAGCATGTGATAGGATTTCCCCCTTTTTAAGGCTGAGTAATATTCCATTGTATGTACATGTCACATTTTGTTTATTTACTCATCCACCTATGGACTTTTGGGTTGCTTTTACCTCTTGCCTATTGTAATAATGCTGCTTTGAACATTGGTGTGCAAGTATCTCTGAGACCTTGCTTTCAATTCTTTTGAGTAAAATTGCTGGATTATATGGTAGTTCTATTTTACATTTTTTGAGGAGCCTTCATGCTGTTTGCTTTGGTGGCTCTATCATTTTACATTCCAACCAACAGTGTACAAGGGTTCCAATTTTTTCATATCCCTGTCAACACTTGTTATTTTCTGTTTGTTATTTTTTTTTTCATAGTAGCCACCCTAATCGGTGTGAAGTGATTCTCTATTCTTTTGAACATCTCCATCAATCTTTGAGTGCTTCCTTACTTTATGGCACAGAGGTTGTTTCAGGATCACTTTGTACTTTCCCTGCCCTAGCACTGGAATCAGTCATCACTCCAGGGAGCCCTAGTTCCTTTTTGTGGAGATGGTATTTAGAAACCACAATCTGGGCAACCTTTTGGATTAGTTCTACTTGTGGCACTTCTGCCACTTCTGCCTTCCACAGGACTGACACATGATTCCAGTGAGCCTGGGGTGACAGGCACCTCTTCACCCCCATCCCTACCTCCAAACTAAGGATTCATATCTCGGCAATCATTTCTCCATAGCCTACTCTCCCAGGTCCCCAGAGGGACATTACCCACCTGAACCTCCCCAGTGATCACACCTTAGACTCAATTTGGGATTTTAACTGTAGGAAACATCCCCACCCACTTAGAAGAAAAGTTGGAACCTGGGATGCAGCTATTTTAAGGTTTCTCTTGAGAAGCAGAACTGAAAAAATATACGTTTAAGCACAACTTCTAAATTAGATTCTAAATTCTATCCTAATTTAGATATACGTATGCATCTCACAATGCAGTTTAATGGAAAGACCATAACTTTGAACTCAGCCAGAACTGGGTTTTAATCCTTGCACTGTGACATATAAGACCTGTGACCTGGGTGAGCTTTAGCTCTGCAAGCATCTGTTTCCCTGTCTGTAAAATGAAGACATTAATACCTTGCAGAAGAGGTAGGGGGTAGGCTCTAGCTTAAGTGGTAGAGTGCATGCTTAGCATGCACAAGTTCCTGGGTTCAATCTCCAGTACCTCCATTTAAAAAAATTTAAAAAATAAAAAATAAATACCTTGCAGAATTTTTCAGGGAATTGGAGACACGTGTCCAGAGATGAGGATGCTGTCTGGCCTATCGTAGGCGGCAGGTACCTCTCTAACGTCATAGCATTTCGTCAGTCCTGGGGGCAGCAGCTTCACTTATGCAGTCCTTTGGAATCCAAGCTTTGCCCATGAACGTCGGCTACTGAAGGCTATGGGGTCAAATGGCTACCTGCCGATGTGCGGTCTGTAGGCTTCAAAACTGTTTTCTTTCGCTGGTAATCTATATCCACTGAAAAATATCTTATTTCTTCCTTCCAGTGAGCCCGCAACATTTCAGAAATACCATCAAGTGAGTCTGCTGGCAAGATTCAATCAAGATCTGGACAAAGTGGCAGCCATTTCCTTGGAGTTCTCTACAGGGTCTGTAATAGGCCCCAAGTACAAGCTCAGGATTCTCCGAATGAAGTTAAGGTCACTTGCCCATCCGGAGAGGTGAGCTGCAAACAGGGTCTGGCAAGTCCCTGTTTTCCAAAGATGGTATTAGTTCCTGTCCAATCTGCTTGGTCTGATGTTTTAACAGGACTTCATCAATCACAGTGAAGGAAGGGAGGGATCCTCTAAAACCAGACTTGATCAAAATAAGTTGCCCAGTAATCCAAGAAAATTTTACTAGTATGCACTGAAAGCTAAATGGCCTGATAATCCAAAGAAATAATGTTGCTATATGCTTAGTTACACAGTTCCTCCCTAACCGCTCCACCCACGCTGCTTAGAAGTTGATAATTTGTTGTAGAAAAGAAAGCCTCCTATAGTTTGGCAAACTGATAAAACACAGCCTAGCATTAAAAGGTACAGAAAAACTGGAATCTTTTGTTCCACTGATAAAGGATAAAGTACAATATATCAATGTTAAATTTGATAAGTGCCCTGAGAATGCCGTTGTCCTTAGGAAATATACACTGAAGTATTAAGGGGTAAACAGCCTATTCTCAGTTGGTTCAGAAAAAATAAACAACAGTGTGTATGTGTGTGTGTGTTGAGAGAGAGACAGAGACAAAGAGGGGGAGAAAGAACAAAGCTGTGATGGTACGTGTGTTTTGTGACTAATGCCACTAGTCCTAGCATCAAATCTATGGACAGAGAGAGACAGAAAATGATGTGAGCAGTTACTGCTTTACGGTTATCCTGAAGGTCTAGGATACCCTAAAACATTTAATAGTACAAGTTTTTTTTTCCCAAGAGGGTAGTCACTTCATCTTAAAACTGGTACTTTTTAATACTTCTTTTCCTGATTATCAAAGTAATAGATGTTCATTTTATAAAATCTGGAAAGTGCGAAAAGTGTAAGGAAGTGAAAAAAATATCATGGATAATGTCATTATTCAGAGGCAACCACTGTTAATAGTTTTAGTTATCTCTTCCTATTTGCTTTTAAACCTGGTTGAAGTTATGTGGTGAATAAAACTGTACATCCTGATGTCTGGCTGTTGTTGATGCTGCTTTGTTTATTTACCGCAAGCATTTTTCTAGAACGATAGAGATAATTGCTAAATAGTTTTACATCCAAAGGCGATGATGCAACTGACTTCACCAGAATGGGGTATTTTTTGTATTGTATTGACAAGGATATTTCATCTTATTTTCACAGGCCCCAATTGTGTCGATATGACCTTGTACTGATGGAAAACGTCGAAACAGTCTTCCAACCTATTCTTTGCTCAAAGTTGCAAATGTAACTGCTGACAGGACACCTGGGTACCAGTAACATTAAGAAAGCTACAACTACAGGCTTTTTAAAGCTTCACCTCACCTTTTCCTCAAGGCACAAAAAGTATAGAATAACCAGGGTTTTTTTGCAGTAATGTCACACTGCAAAACATCAAATGACCTTGGATTATGAAACAGTCCTGGGAAGGGAGCCCCTAAGTAGGGCGAGTCAGAAATAGCCAGGCTCCCAACCGCCCAGCGCCTTGTCTGGCTGTGTCCTGGGGCCTCATTTGTTCCGACCTGTCGATTCTGCTGCCTGTCACCCGGGCAGTTCTGCCCATCACAGCGGCCAGCCAAGCATCTCAAAGGGAAAGACTGGCTGGAGACCTCCCTCTGGACTCGACCCCACATTCCCTGTGCCAGATCCCTCCAGGCCGCGCATGCAGAAGGGAATGAAACTGACCTCCCTCACAGGGCTCGTGTGTGGATTTAGGAGGCAAGTCTGTGAAGGATTCTTTGAAATCCTTTGGGTGCCACATCTGTGAGTGGCTGATATGTGTGAATATGCTTGTATTTATTTTGCTATGGCTTATCTAATAAGCACTAAGAGAGCTTCTCCCTGTCAACACCACCTTCTCTCTTGGGCTCTTTGCTCTGGGAAGGCAGGGAAGCCACACCCCTGGCTTCCCGTCTTGTTGAAAGTGGGGTTGGTGCAGGAGGCAGTGAGGACAGGCCAGTAGCCAAGGGGGCAGCCCCTGGGACCAGACAGTATGTGGATGAGGGAAGAAGGACAGATGAAGCCGTGGGACTACCTCGCTCATGGGGACCAGGGATGGAGCAAGAGGCAAGACAGAAAAAGCAGGGCTTGTTTTTCACTTAAGGTGAAGAAGAATCGCTTTATAGGCAACCCTCATTTTAAGCAATTCTTAAGAAATATTTTGTTTTTCTTTATTACTAATGTAACTTGTGATTATTGAAGGAAATTCAGAAAATGCACAGATGCAAAATAAAAATCCGCTACTCATAATCCCACCTGTGGGAGGTGATTAATGTTAACCTTTCAGAGTGATGCCAAGTAACTCGTTTTGCTAACATGTGAATTCAAAGCACTAACCTGTTTGCTCTTGGAGTATCTGAAGCTTCTGGTTTGAAGAGTTTGCAGGCTTCCCTAGGAACAGGCGCCATCTATGAATCTGGAATGATAACAGCAGCCAAGTTAAGAGGCCCCCCAAGGGCCAAGGTCAGAGATTTCAGAACCAGGAGGGGATGTCCCTGCAGTCAGATGCCCAGGGCAGAGACAGAGCCACAGGGGTTGACACCACCCATCCCCTAGATGCGGCCCCAGTAGGAAGGTTCCTGGGATTCCTGAGTCACAGGTCCAGGAACCTCCTCCACATCCAAGTGACTGCTCTTCTGCTTTCTGTGAGAATAGACTTATTTTAAAGAAATGAGCTGTTTCATATATGATGGAATTCTGTAAATATGTTCCTGTGTGGCATGTCTTACCTTTGCTTATGCATGTAGCAAATCCAGAGTCTATTCCACTAAAGTGAAGGATGACTGCGGTGAATGTCTGAACTCTGAAAGGAGTGAAGCTCAGCGATGCTCCTGCCCACTTGGACGTCTCACCAGCTTTCCTCCTTCCCTCGTTCAAGCAGTCGTGCATACAGGCTGATGGGCCCTGATTTCTGTTTAGAGTTTTATTGGTCCTGGATTTTGATTAGTACAGTGACTGTGTCCTCTTTGCCTTGCCCGGTAAGCAGGGGATCAAAACAATAGCAAGAAGATGCCAGAAACAACATTTCTGTTGATGTATAAGCTCTTCAGGCCAGTGGGTCTCTCTCAGCTTCTTCTCCTGGTGTCTGCTAGCACGGTACCTGGCTCATGGTGGGGCGGGTGGGTGGATGAACACACAGATGGATGAGTGGATAAATGACAAAGTAACAGAAGGAAGTTTGCTCCCTGGAGTGGAGGTGAATTTCAGTGGGTTTCATGTAACAGTGATCAGGTGAAATGGAGGCAATCACAGGTGTGCCACTCTCTTAGAATCTTTCTCCTGAGGCCCCTGCAACTTTCGACTCTGTCTCTTGTTATCCTTGCCTCTCTTCCTTCTCTTTGCCAGTGTATTTATCTGAATCCCCAATCCAAGAAGCAGTTAGACCATAGCCTACCTTGTTCCCTCCAGTGTCTTCCCCAGTGTCTCCCACTCAGCGTTTGGACCTTAGCTGGATGGGTACTTCCTCAGGGTGGTGGGGGTGGGGGGTCTTACTCACATCATTTCTTTGCAGTGCACGCTGAACTTCTACTCTGGAGAGCTTTTTAAGGTTTGTTTGTTTGTTTGTTTCATTTATGTGTGTGATTGAGCCGGGTGCCTAGCGTGGTGCCTGCAGCACAGTCTGCGCTCAGGAAATAGTTACTACGTGAACACTCTCTGTTACCTTGTAGGACCTATGGAGTCATGTTCAGCTGTGAGGAAAGGCCTCCCCGCCTTCCCTCCCACCACCCCAGCCCGCTTCTATGGCGGTGCCCACCCTTCTCTGACTTAGACCTCTCTCCCAGGGACCTCTGTTATTGTTGTCTCTGTGATGTCTGGAAGACCATTGCCCATTTCCCAGGCTCCCTGGGAAAAAGAGAGGTTGGCTCTTTTTTTTCACTCCTTATTGCAACTTCCAGGTGGTCCTAACACCATTCTTTAGCAAGCCCACCTATCCGGAAGCCTAGGAGATTTTTCCTTCCCCCAATCCCCCATTTTAGAATGTCAGCTAAAACCCTCCAGGTCCCTCTGGCATTACTGGCTGACTCCAAGCTGTGGTTCAAAGTTCCCCTCGCTTGTTCTTCCACAACTCCCTTCCGCCACCCACTTTGCATGTGCTACTGTCGCTGCTTTCATTAAGCCATATCGTAAGATGTTTCCATGTCTGTATCTCCTCTGACACTGAGACCACAGGAGCAGCTGCTGCTTATTTGTCTTTGCTGCCCTAGCTCCTAGCACAATGCCAGGCACAAAGCAGGTGCTCAGTATATGTCTGTTGAACAGCATGGAGCGGACCCATCCTTAGGGACTTGGAGATGCCTTCACTCTGATTCAGACTTCGACAGTCTTGGGCTTCTTTCCCAAAGCAGACAGGCTGAGCAGAAGGAATCAAACAGGAGGCTAGGGGGTAAGTCAGGGGCAGCAAGCGAGGACTTAGATAGCGAGCCTGTGGGAAGTTAGGTTTGCATCTCCCAAAGAATTCTTGCTAAAGGTTCTTTGCCACCTGGTATTGGCTGAGTCCCACAACCCCTCAGGTCTCCCTGCTGGATTTTTCATGGACTCTAACAAGGCACACCGGTTCCTTTCCTAACGGTCTTTCCTGGGCCCTCAGGACACCACCCTCACCACTCTAGGTCTCACCCACCTGCCCTGAATGAGCTATCTTGTTCTCTTTCACTGGTTCCACATTTCCTTACCAGGCTTCTGATCTCAGTCTTCTCTCTTGGAAAGGCAGTGTAGCGTAAGATGAGGCTCTGCTATTTGCTGCCGTGTGACCTCAATACCTCCTAAGTTTCCATTCTCTGTACTGTGAAGCGGGGGCTGCTTAAAGTCCCTGCCTCATGAAGGTTGTTATATATAATAAATACATTCATGTGTGTACAGCGCTTACTGTGGGGTCGAGTGTACTGAGACTCGGTGAATATCAGCTGTTGTTACTTTCCCTCTCGTGGTCTACTTAAGAGACCTGTCCGCCTTTTCAACGCTCTCCTTTACACATGTGACCTCCAAATCTGACTGTTCAATCTGAGCTCTGGATTTTCACTTGCTTGTTGAGAGGCGGTGCAGGGGAAAGAGCACGGGCTCAGGAGGTGAAGACAAGTCCTGCTTAGCACTCTCCCTGTTGTGGACTCATCAGCACTCAAAGTGACTTCACCTGAACACCTGCTCAGCCACTCGTCCCTAAGCGGGATGATGATGTTTGCTTCTCTGGAAGCTTTGCCACATCAATTTCCTCCACGGTGTGATCTACAATGATAACTCCCCATGCTGTCCCCTGACCGAAGAGAGAGCAAAGTCCTTGAGAGCAGGAACCTTCCTTCTTGCTCTCTACTCTGCACACCCCTGGCACAGGCTCAGGTACATTCCTTTTTCCATTTACTTTCTCTCCTCCCGGATTCCTTTGACTTCTCAAAATCAACATGTTTCAAACCAAAACAACTGATCATTTTCCTCCTGGGACTTGAGTCCATTAATTTAACAAACTATTACTAAGTGCCAATTATAAGGCAAGCCCAGCTGAGAGCTGGGACAGATAAAAGATGGTGAGACCTTGTCTCATTTACAGATGTGTTCACTGTCTACTGTTTCTCTTTCCGGTCTTACTTAGAATGAAGATCTCCAGGTCTCTCTCCCCACGTGTTTTAAAATGGAAAATTTTACACACATACAGAAATACAGAAAATGGTATAAAATCCACTTCCATATGCTCATCATTCAGCTTCAGCAATTATCAATTCAATGGCCAATCTTGTTTTATTTATACCCCTACCCACTACAGTCCTATCCCATTATTTTGATGCAAATCCCAGGCATTGAACCACTTCATTCATAAATACTTCAGTATTTTGAAAAGATAAAATACATCCTTTTTTTTTCTTACAAATGAGTCACAGGATACTCTAACACTGCACCTTGTTTGATTTTTATCCCAGCCATCTATCCCGCAACTGCACTGTGTCAGGATATCTAGAGTTGCCTCCCTCTTTCAGGAAACTACTTGGTGTTCCATTTGTGAATATACCATAATTAACCTCGCTAGTCTCCAAATGATGGGCATTTAGGTTGTCCCTAATCTCTTAACATCAAAATGGAGCTGAGAGAATACCCTTGAAACATACATCTTTGTCTACCTATGGGCATATCTATAAGTTCACTTTTTGAATGTGGAATTGCTAGGGCTTTGCACACTTCAAATTCTGACAGGGGCTCCTTATTTGGCCAAAGAGGGGCTTTGAATGATATGACAAGGATGGTTTCTTTCTGTTGTCCAGGCTTGTGACATTTTGGAGTCCTCTCTGTCTCTTCTACATTTAATCAGTCATATCCTACCAACTCTTCCCTTCCTTCCCATAATTGTGGTCCTGACTCAGGCCTGCATCCTTTCTCACCAAGACAATTACAGCTTCCAACTCACAACATATTCTAATCATCTTCCAGGGCAAACAGGAGCTAAACTATTCTCTTGTTTAAACACCTCTGTTGGTGTCTCCTGATGTACAATATTTAAAAAAATCCAACTTCTTAGCTGCCTTTCGTTGCTTTCCAGTTTGTCCCCACATTCTCACTCATTTCTCACACCTTAGGCTTCATGGAACCTGGATACTGGTGCCTTCCTGGGGCACCTAGATCACCCTCTCCCTCCTGTCTCTGTTGTGGAAATCGTGCTCATCCTTTAAGGTAAACTCAAACCCCACCTCCTCCATGAATCTATGCAGTGCAGGACCACTAGTTTTGGACTCATAATCATGGTGTCGTTTGGGGGACGTCACGATCTTTCTCAAAATCAGATTTTTCATCTGTTAAATAAAGGCAAAAATACCAACCTTGCTGGATTGTTGTGAGGATTAGCGTTAATGGGCACATAGTAGGCGTTCAATAAAAGGAAATTCTCATTTCCGTGGTCGCTTAGACCATCCCACTGCACTGGATTAGAGCCTCTTGTTCCACGAGGGCTGCATTTGCTTTGTTACAGCTGGTGGTCGACCAGACTGTCTTGACCACTAGACTGCAAGCTGGCTGTGGGCAGGGCTCGTAATTCATCCCTGGATCTCCCAGCACCTGACAGAGACCCTGCAGATAAATGGAGAAAGAGAGGGACAAACGTAGAAAAATACACACAGACAGGAGAACAGACGCACGCGCAGAGGGGCTGCAAGACAGGTTTGCGAAGCAGTCGGCCCAGGGGCACCATGGGTGGAGTCCAGGCCCGGGGCGGGGCCTGAGTCTGGGGGCGGGACCTGCAGCGGACCCCGCCCCGGTCCGTCTTCGAACGT